GACCGCCATGTGATACCATATAAATACATTTCAGACCACACTGTGGACATATTATAAATATCCTATTGGGTATAATATTATTCGGTGTCATACTCTTCATATATATTTTTTCAATAACAACACAATTATAAACACTCTTGCGTCAACATGGGTCAAAGAAACCAAATTAAGCAAAATAGTATTGCCTAACGGGAATTGGCGACCATTAATAAAACACAATTGAATATTACTTAACGGTATGTGGAAATTTATTTGAAGTTAATGAATGATATCCAATTTACCAATTCCCACGATAGGCGATTCAATCATACACAGCAGTTGTGACCTATTAAAAATACCACTCTAATAGTCTAATAAGAATTTGCTATACCCACGAAATGAAATACAAAATTAGCGTAGTCATTATCTGTTCTGAAGGCTTTCACATAAATTTATGTTACATCTTTGTATATAGTGGCTTAAATGATCACATCGTCGAGTACACTGCCTCACAGAAGTATGCGTATTATCAGAGGATTTGCTTGATTATATAATGTTATGATACTAGTATGTTTAATATGTTTATTCATAAATACTACCAATATGGTCATCATTTTGATATAATATTTTTCACATGTTTGTATTTAACTATTTCACCAGCAGAAATTAACATTATAATCGTTAATTGTGTATACGCGCCTTAGTGTATTCAATTTATTTGTATACCATCTTGATCATATTTCAAACAGCTTTCACAAACGTAATTTATCTAGACATTAAACGAACGATGTTTTTACATTTTAGAAAGTTAGTGATGCATACAAAAATTCAAATTGCATGCTACAACCAATCCGATTTGCCACCCAGAGAATGTAATATTAAACACATAGTGACTGGTCTTGAGTGCAACAGCATACGTATATTTCCCCTGAGAGATTTAGTCCAATCAATCAAACTAATTTTATGGATTGTTTTTAGGAGTTCTAATATGGAAATATACTATATGGCTTTTATCTCATTGCTATTAGATATACACATAAAATTAGACTAGTAGAAATACTGTTAGATCATCACATATTGCAATGAGATAGACAACATACACGAATATTGATGAATAAATGATTTTAATCTCTTCAATACATAAAACCTGATTAATGATATGTTGGACTGACACTCTTTATTCAACAATTCTTATTTCAGAGTTGAAGTTAGGAAATGATATATATGAATGGTGTTTATGACTACGAACATTGTAATGAAGAATATATCCTTTGCGTGCTGTTCGATATGGAACTCATAGCGACGTAAATAACCAGTGTGAAATACATTGTTTACATGAAATTCAAACACGCTCTGCGTGCCGACCACCGCCCGTTAACCTAGTTTTAGTGACGTATTTTTTATATGCAAAAAACGACCATTTGGTCACCATTATTTAAAGTGTAAGGATATACATATCTTGAAATGAAATATTTGAACAGTTTTTATATTAGCATGATGTCTCTGCCATCTATCAAGGGATATTGAACATGCCATGCATTTAGTAATATTACGTGTTATTAATTAGTAATCAGCAGCATATTCATTTATATGCAAATACGGTAGATATTTGAATCAAACAATCAAATCAGGCTAAAATGTGCATGAGATTCGTCAAGAGACGAGAGAAATATGCATGACATGAACCGTTGTATATCCATGTATCGAAATGTGGTTTTCAAAAAATATATTTTTTTCTTAATAGTGCGAGTTTGTACTCACCTATTGTTGTCAACAACGTGAGACAAAAAAACATAGACGACCAAACATCCCAGTTGTAACCGAGCTCCAATCGCATGCCGCGTTTAAATATATCCTCAAGTTGGTGTTTCATTTCGTCAAATTGAACACTACCGAAGTCGCTCCAGTTTCCTTGAGTTAGTTCACATCCAGTCCTGAGTTCTCTGATAAAAGATTCTTTCAAAGTCTCGAGTTCAATCATATTTCTGTCCCATTCTGGCCTTTCGATTGTGTAGAACACACAAATTCCTATCGCTACATAAATAACAAGAATGACATGAAATACAACGCAGGGACGGAAAGTTCGTTCATAAAACCTGCGACAGCGGTAAGCTCGCATAGGACGCTGATGACTACAACCATCTACGCTAGACATCGTTTACTAATATACTGAACTTGTTTCTGAAAATAAACAATTATTATATATTTTACACTCAACTAAGGGACCTTGTTGAGTATCCTCGTTGTCCATGCTTAATTGAGTAGTAACAAAATAATGCAAGTTTATGTGTATTACACGTTTGAGTCTTACATCTAATGAGCGCCCGCTATTGGTTTGTCGTAGATTTACAGCCATGTAAATAGCACCTCCTATAGTCCGGGCAGAACCCAGAAAATGACTCGCAAAATGAATTTGATCAACCAAAGAGAGTAAAAGCGACCGCTGTACAATTTACAATGCAAGTCAAATTAGGTAAACTTTTGAGATTTTTCGTTCGATCGCAAAGGATCATCAATGGTAATTAACATTTTAATGGAAATACATGTATATGAAAATTCAACACTGTTAGTGACAATTTCTATATAACGACCACCTGCCTTTAGTCAGTTCTGAGGCAGCCTGTGAATAAAGGCCATATGTATTATGTGACATACTTTCCCTACTAGTTGCTGATAAATACATTAAAACAAGTCGATGACATCGAATACTACGTCAAATCAAAGTAAACTTATTTCGAGGGTCTCCAATTATAGTTGAAGTAGTTTAAACTATTTTAACTCCTATTTTCGAGCTGATCATATTGACCTAAATGTTAATATTTTCGACTCATTTTGTAATATTAAAATTTTTATTTTAATTTGCAATTAATGTCGCAACGTTATTTTTGACCCAGTTTTAACTGGTTGTGGGGCATTTCCAACCAAGATCAGGTGAGTACAAGCCCCGGACACTTGTACTGAGACTAGAAACAAACAAAATAATGGTAAAATATTATGAAAAATAAAAAGTGCTGACATGAAATGTAAAGCAAGTAACTAGCATCGAAACGGGGGGGGGGCAATAAAGTCAACTTTTATAACCATTCAATAATATATAATGTGTTTAATTATTTGTAAAGTATTCCTAAAGTTCTGATAACAGATCAATCACAGATCCAGACCTACCCCGACGAAATTAACTAATATAAATATGCAAAATATTTAAATTAGCATGCCAAAACGTCGTTGAAAAAGAATTAACTTGCATTCAATAGTTATGGTCTTCAATTCCCTGTAGTGAATAAGTGCATATACATTTAAAACCAACTTGTCTACATTTAATATAGATAGACAACACTGACACTTTTGTCAACAGTCAAACAAATTTATCTGCGTACAATATTTAAAAACCACAATACCTTTTTAGGGTTTCGATGAAGATCTGTTGTTCAATTAACAGAACCATTGTAGAAAAATGCTTCACCCTGATTTTGCATGCCTACCCTGTAACCATAGCGACCACTTGAGGGCGACTATTCACTGCTTATCTTCGAGATGCATGCTGATGAATTCTTAACATGACAGGAGTGACAGAGTATCTCCATACATATCAAAACAACTGCATTGAATATATATTGAAGATAATATTTGGTAATCGTAGTCCTAAATAACTATTAAAAATAGCTAGACGTTTCGAGCAATGGCTCTTTATCGATAGCATAGAAGCAAGTGCTCAC